GGCATCACGATATCAACAACGAAAGAATCGACCACATGGATTGGTGAGCCTTTCTGAATATGTTGAAAACTGCTGTTCAAAGATTAGTAATAAATTAATAAATAAAGTTCATCTTCGAGTCTTTGCCTTGTTTTATTTTGCGAAAGATGATGTTTACAATTTTCTTTTTGTCAGTAAGAAAAGTTGATCAGCTCACCTGATGTAAGCCCTTACTGATAGTTGTTTTGGGCGAACGTTTAACGTTTAAGCTCATCTTGTTTTTGTCGTTTTACATGACATGTAGATGCTTTTTCGTCGTTAGAATGCTATGGGTTGCAGGGTTTTCACAGGTCAGAAAAGTTCTAGGGAAAATTAGTTCATCAACGTTAGGTAATTTTATTTTGTGTCAGACTTTCTAAAAAGTCCTTCGTCTTGTTTATTCAGTACCCGCCGGACGCGACTTCGTTGCTCGCTCGGCCGCTTCGCGACCTTAACAACGGCCGCTTCGCGGCCTAACATATTCTACCCTGAAATTCATGAGGTCGACTTGTGGCAAGTCTATCAGGGAATTAACATTGACATTTTGAAGGAAGATCAAATAAAATTAAAATATAACATTACTGGAATCTCGATTACTATTTTCTTAACAAAGAAGTAAATTTGTTGGAAATGTATCAGTCTTAAATGGGTGGAATTCAAAAGTATGGCTGTTAGGGAGGTAAAAGGTAAAGTCTACATACAAGCCGAGTGGCTCATCAGGCCGGAGCTTATCCCGGTTTCGGTAGCAGAAAGCGACCAGGAGTATTTCTACTCCCCCCTGGATGGGATGCTAGTCCACCGCAGGCTTACCCCCCAGCATTAAATGCGCCAGTCCCCATTCATACACCTGGGTGGAGAGAGGCACTGTGAGAGTAGAGTGCCCACGAGCACAACTCAATGTCCCCAGACAGGGCTCGAACCCGGACCGTTCACTCCTGAGTGGAGCGCACTAACCATGAGGCTACTGCACCTCCCACAATGACCAGTACTGTAGGATTATATAGTTAAATTGCTTTTATTCATCCTTTGTGATACTATTCCCTGCATTTATAACTGCTTACCTGCCCATTTAAAATGTGTCCGTGTATTTTGATAAATTACTAACTTACTTGCTCACTGAAGCATTATACACGTATCTTCCTATGGCTATTCACACCACATCAGCTAAACATCAATTAAACTTTATTATTTATAAATTAAATGACATACAGTACATGTACTGAATGTAAAGATCCTGGTTTTGGTTTCCAAGCAAGCACCCTGGCCTTAATTAATTAGAAAAATGAGAGATGTTCAAAACAAAAAAATATTCTCACAGAACAGATATGAATTAACCCAACTGTCCGGCATGTTAACTTACCGAGATGGCAGTAACCAGGCCTCGAAAATGTTATATAAACTGCCTGTCGCAGTTAATATATATGGGTTATTGACCAAGAGTGAGGTCAAGATGGCTGCATATTGGCCAAGTTCTTTTTTTTGCGAGTTTATGGACCGAGACGGAGTCGAGGTCCATAAACTCGCAAAAAAAGAACGAGGCCAATATCCAGCCATCTTNATTCAGCTTGTGTGGTATATACTAAAGCAATTATTCACCTCAGTGTCGGTGAAAGTGATGGACCTCCACTTCAGTGAATAATTGTTAATTATTTACAAATCACGATGGCATGAAATCATGTTAAATGACAAAAATCACACTTTTCTAGTTCCTCTTTTTATTTCAACTAGACTAAGTTTAGAAAATGAGATTGTGAACTCCAAAAAGTTAAACTTGATATAATAAAAACCTCGCAATAGTTTTATTTAGTATATACCACACAAGTGAATAGTACTTTTCGCACACGCTGATTGGCTAGCTCGGAGGTGATTAGCCAGGTACTATTCACCTCCGAGCAACCGAAGAAAAACAAAATGGCTTTCCGTTTCGCTTTGTCGGTATATTGTCACAAATAAAGTTACTCTTTGGTCTGCTAGTTATTCTGCTTGTTTGGTATATACTAACACAATAATTGTGTTAGTGTGGGTGAAAGTGGTGGATATTTACCTCGCCGCTTCATGGCTCAGTAAATATCCACCACTATTCACCTCCCCTTCGGTGAATAATTGCATTCCGTGTTGGTAGAGCGTTTGTTTCTTGGATGTTCATCGTCAACGCTTTGCTTTGCGGCATATGGTACAGCCCCGAAGGTTTTTGGGCTTGAACTCGAGACCCTGCCTAGCAGTTACAAAAGATACTGCTTCGAGGTTTTTGCTGAAATGTTTGCTGGTAGCACGAAGATGAGATGAAACTGGATGAAACAGTTCCCTACATCACTTCTCATCCTTTAAAGGGATGTAACCAGGCTCATACCACAGATTTTTGAATGATTGCTACAATTAACGCTGCACAAAACACTCATATTTGCCCTAATACTTTGTTGTTCTGAACGGGAGCTCACCAATTATGACGTCACGACATCCAGTTCTGACAATTGTCCGAAGTTTCCACAAACTGTTCCGTTTGTAAAGCGAAGAAAACTAGCTGTTTTCAAGGTCTAATATCTCGGCGACTTTTTGACTAAATCAGGTAAAATTTTGGATTATGATTATCTGGATTAGTATCTTTTATTTTAACTTATAATCAAACTAGGCCCAATTTCATTGCATTTGACCTTTAAGAGACATTTGAGACCATCGCACAGATAAACATAGAGTTAAAGAACAGAATTCAATCATGCATTTTGCAAAAAATTCAAACTTCTAGTTGATAGATTTTCTTCATTTTTTTGTTAAATGTAGAAAATCAGTAGAGAAAATGATCCATCAAAAGAAAAATAGGGGTCACCAAGTGTCCAAGACCGTTAAATCCAGGCAAAGCTTTAGTAATGGCCATCTGCCCTATCATTGTTCATTTTATTACTTAGCGCGCGCTCTCATGCATGACGTGGTGTGTGAATTAATTTGCTTGCACAGTAAGGATGTGCAGGAACAATTAGTGTGAACATCCTTAAATAGAACAGTTTTAAAACTAAGTGAGACATTTAAAACCAGAAAAGACCCTCATCCATCAAATGTTATTTGCCCTTTCAAATTAGTCTGTTTTCCAAAAGAGATAACACTTTTGCCAGGAACAGCACAGGTTTTAACAATTTTCATTTCAGTTTAGGGGGGTTCCACTGAACCACATGGAAAACATAAGCTACATGCATTTAAGTTCCCACCTCCTTTGTTTGTGTTTCTCCTAATATTGTTCTGGAAAGAATTACTGTAAAAACTGGCATCGTTGCCTAAAAAATAAATTAATCATTTTATTTAGTAATTATTGATCTTGCATCATCACAAGTTCAGAAAGAATTACAGCTAGGGAAAACAACAGATGTCTTGCTTTACCAACTTTGCAAACAAGAGATGATCTTTCCATAAATGTGCAGTTCCTGAAAATATTCAAACTCCCCCCACAAAAGGGATTGGAATTTCCTGGGAGTGAGGGATCTTTAAGAACAAAAAATCTAAAGAAATGGTGGAGAAGGTGGGGATATTTTTGGAACTACACAATTCAAACTAGAAAATTCATACCAATGATGAGCACTAAAATCTTGCACATATATTTTAGTAAAAACATCCTCACTGGGACACACAACTTAATCATGTGTTATGGGCCTGCAATGCGTGCAAACGATTTCAACTTTAACACCCACTGCAGTTGTTGTATTGTGTTTTTTTAGTTAAATAAGACCACTAACATGAAAGCTATAGTCTGAGACAAATAGGGAAGGTTAGCAATTTTGTTCTTCGCCTCTCCTGTTCAATTCATAGCATCTAGCAACCTCACATTTCTCTCTGAGTCACAGCATATTCTGGTAAATAATTAAATAGTTTATTGAGTGTTGACAACTCAATATTCTACAAGTAATGTACTGTTGTCTTGATTATGAAGAACTGAACAACAGGGCACTACTCACCTTTACTTGAGTGGGGTGCACAATGCAACAGAAAAAAAAAAACAATAAATGAGTAACAAGAAAATGCTCACTAGTAAAGAGTCCTGTTTTAAGTCAATATTACTATTATTGCTTCAAATGTTATCAGTTATTGCATGTAAGTAATCAAAAGATACATGTTGGTGGGACTGAGAAGATTCAAACACTCACACATTCATTCACACTGATTGCATCATAAGCTTGCCTGCGTTCAAACAATCACCATGAAGTAATTTTCACAGTCATAATATAATAGCATCATTAATGGTGGAAATAATGCTGTTATTTCAGAACCTGGGAATTTCTGTTCTTGTTAATCCCTTTCCATTTGTATATCATAATTCTATTTTAAAAATATTTGCTTTTGTTGGCAATGATATTGGTATCACTTACATCCAAATTGTTATAACCCCTCAAGGAAAATTATGCAACATTTTGAAAATGGACATGGCCACACCCTGAAATGTAATTTGATAGCTCAACATTGATTTTAGCTATATGCAAGTTATATGATCTTTTTGATGTTATGATAATTTGTGTGTAAATTACAGAAGATGGCCCAGGGTTTCCTTTAACTTAATTCAACACACTTTTCCGTCAAAATGAATTTTCCTAGTGGAACTGGAGAATGTACATAATATTGCTGGAAATTCCAGAGGGTTGGGAGGGTTACTTTCATCTTTAAAAATATGGAGAGTGTAGGGAGGTGGGGGATCATAGTAGGGTAATGGATATTTTCTGGAACTGACAATATTGTTCAACAGATGCATCATTTGCAAATAGAGAGGACAAGTCTGCTAAAGTACACTCCAAAAATTGTATGGCAAATTAAATACTAACAGCATATTCAACAATTAGGTTATGAGCTTGCGATTTCTATCACGAATAGAAATCAAGACCAAACAGTCTAATTTTTTCAATATACATCTGCTAGTTGTTCAAAACTTTATCTAAATCCTCTTCACAGAAACTTTGAAAAATGCAAAGATGATGACCACCACACAGTGGTAGGCTACTCACTATCGACAATGTACAGAGCAGATAGTGAATAGCACAACCAATAAAATAACAACATTCATGATAGAATGCTGGTAGATTTATATTAATGCAGAGGTCTGTCATGCATGGATGGTACAAGGATTGTTATTTTCTGATAACTGGGATGTTGTAGCCATATATGTATGGACGTTGAGATGATAATAAAATGCAGTATCTACATCTGAAAATCACATTTTTAATATATAGAACCTCAATCAACATCATATTGAAAACAGTCGATAATTTTTGCTTAATTGGCTGGCTGCCCGACTGACTAACAGATTAATTGATTAATTGATATTTCTCAGACATCACCTGCATTAATTAAACATGAATAATTTTCCTTTTGAGGAAGGAAATCATCAAATGTTTGAGACATAACTTGTTTCGATCGCTGAACAAAATTCGCTAAGAAATTACGACGGTCTAACCACGTTTGTTGAAGTTTTATTGACGCAACTGGAAATCTCTATAACTCAATTTTTCGCGGTTGTGTAAATCCTTCAACTGAATTGATGTTATCAATTTATCAAATGAAGATGATGCTGTTGAAATCAACCTACCTGTATGCGAGTATGAGACAGGTACTCTCCAAATACTAACATGTGCTGTTATCGCCGCAAAAGCCTTTCCAAATGAAAGAGGTAAGATCAGTTTTAGAAGACTGGATTTCGGTAACGATTTCATCGGAGGAACGTTCCAAACACGGAGTGTTGGCGATAAAAACAGCGCTGTAGACACCACTTGGACCATCGCTACAGTCAAAGGAAACGGAAAATCTGTGAGTATTTTCTTTCCAATGACGCTGTTTGTTGAGCTGATCGTGTACCACAACGAGCACAGTAGAACTATTCGAAATGCTTCGGAACGAAATCCCACAGCCATGTTTCTTCCAGTTTAGTATGCCGGTGTACACATGAACTCAAGCGACACGTCATTACCATGCAACCGCGCTTCCGGCTGCGCAAAGGGGACTGTTCTTCTTCCGGGAGCCCTGCGATTACAAGTCACTAATCTGTCACGAGGTGATGTCGGAGAAGATGGAGAGGAAAATGAGCAATTGCGGATCCGTTCGATTTGTTTTGTTGATATTGCTGTTCTCGATAACGTTGTCCAAAGCAGACAATTTTGATAAGCGAAAGAATGTTTTGGTTATGATTGGAGACGATGTGGGTTTCCAAACCCAGGTTTATAATAACACTGTTTGCAAAACTCCAAATTTGAACGCTTTGGCAAAACGCAGTGTTACTTTCAGGAACGGCTTCACATCTGTGAGTAGCTGTTCCCCGAGCCGGTCCGCCATCTTAACAGGTAAGAAAGTACGTTCTGCAAATGATATAAAAGTCAGGAAGTGTTTGCAGTGACTGTGCATGCCAAATATTCGCCATGAAGGTAATAGCTGTGGAGATATTTTGAAATAGGTGCACAATGTGTACATGTGTCTGCGCGGAAGAATGGTGACAGATATTAGCCAGCCCTTTCGGGATATGAATTGATCCTGCTCAATGCAAAATCACATTGCCTTTGAAAAAAATTCATTTACATATGTACTGTGATTCCCAGGGTATCTCAGCCTTGCAAAAGATATCCAGCCTCCAAGACAGCATTTCAAAGAACAATTGAGATGGCAAGACCACACAAATTTGAAAATAATTCTGCCACAAGCATATTTTTGGAAGGACCAGTCACTGTACTCCTAATTTACTGTCTCCTAATTCACTAATTTACAAGTTTGTACTCCTATTTATCTGTACTCCTAATACCCATAGAAACTTCTGTTAGGAACAGACGTGTCTGTGTGAACAATTCACACAAATCACGTCTAACAAAAATCAAAGTGCTCTATGAGCAAACCCATAAATATCCAAGTGAATTATGTTTGACATGACCTAACCTTTGTGTGGAATGGGAAACGTACTTAACATTCACTCCATATCTTGTACGTGTGATGGATTGTGAAACTATGCGTTATTAAAGAGCAGATAATATCTTCAATATTTTCCGTGCCTCTAGGTCTTCCGCAGCATCAGAATGGTATGTATGGCCTTCATCAGTCATATCATCACTTTAACTCCTTTGATGCAGTCAAGAGTCTTCCTTTGGTGTTACAGAAGAATAATGTGCGAACTGGAATCATTGGCAAAAAACATGTAGGGCCTGAAACAGTGAGTATTGATCATGATGAAAAGGGTACCCTGATTGTTTTCAGCAGTGACCAGTCTGAATTTTGCAATTTGGACTGCTAAGATGGACTGCTCAGGAATACATTTTAATTGGCAAATCACATATTGAAAGCTAGCAAATGGTTTTAGTGTGTGTGTGACATCAGTGTGCTGTGTGTGAACCACAATTTGATCGGTGGGACAGAACTTACATGCATGAACAAGCAACCATAATGGGAATCAAAGCCTTTTTTTCCAATCCTCCACTTAAGGTTTTCATGCTTGGACTACTTAACCCATTGACTCCTGCATGAAATTCCCCGCGACCCACCCCTAATTCCCTGGCATTTTTGCAAAATGTTTCAGAGCGGATGAAAGCACAAAAATAAACCATATGCGCAGTAACCACAGACACAAGATCAGGTTTCAAGACATCGTTTATTTAAAGTTGAATAAATGAAGGGCCAAAATATTAAAAAATGTCAACAAAAAGAACTCAACTTGATCTGTACAACTGATAAGAAAACAAGAAATTATATTTTTTTTCTTTGCCGTGCGACAGAAGCCGAGAAAACTGATTACGGAAAAATGAGTTAAGTTTTGACTTCAGAGGACAAAACGAAACCGAATACAACAGAATTTCTACTCTTTTACTATAATAACGGATAACATTTGATAAAACACCAGAAAATAATGGCGAAAGACACATTTAAAAACCAATTTGAAAACAAGAAATCAGATAATTTCTTCACTGCGTGACAAAGTAATACAGCGCAGCAAAAGAAAGATGAAAGTTGTACATCAAAAAGACGACAAAAACAAGCCAATTATTTTGAGATAAATCATATTACAAATGTGTTAATTTAGCTCCCACTTAGTTCTTCTCTCAAGAGTTCTGTAGTAGCTGAATAAGACTCAAAAAATATATTTAAATGAAGTGAATAAACTAAACAAACAAACCACGGGGGTCGCCGTAAATTAAATATACAGAAATCCAGTGTGCAAAAATACTGTTCACTTTTAAAACCTGAAATTCGCAAATAAAGGCAACCACATGAAAGAAACGTGACAGGAAGTTCAATAACAATAAATTTTCATTCAAAATGAGGCAAAAAACTTATCTAAAAGCATAAAAATGTTCAAAATTTTGCAGACGTGCTTCGCTGCATGACCGCATGTTCAAATTAATTCCTCACGCTAAAGTGAAAGCTTGAGATTTTGCCGACGAGTTTTGCAGTTATTTTATCAGCCATGGCCTTACCAATTGTTCTAAAAATTGAATTCAACTTCAAAGTAATACTGTACATTACCATTTTTGTTTTCTTAAGTCCAGGAAGCTGTTTCAAATCCGCGATCTGTATTCAAAACTCACTTGAAAGCGTACTGATTGTCATGTTTTCGCGGAGGGTGAAGGAAGGAAAAATTCTTCACCAGAAAGGTTTGAGGGCTCTGAACACCTTGATCTTCCATTCTGAGGCCACCTAAACATCAATTTATGTTTTTCCTTTCTATTTTAAGTGCCAAAGAAGTAATTTTGTCCGTTTTAGGAATGAAAACAAGACCCTGGAAGTTTGTGGATTTGGCCCGCAATGCACCATGATTACCTGCACTTTTCGAGCGCATGATTTTAAGACGAAAAACCGTCTTTCAAGGACCCCTAAAGTCCTCTAAAAATATGCTCTGTAAGTCGATTTTGATTGGTTTATTTGTCTTTAACAACAATAGAACAATAAGAGAACTAAAACGTCTTCAGGGAGGGTAGGAGAGGCAATTGTCCTCACATGCTTTTGTCACAGCCAGTTATGGCCGGCACAGGAAATTGGGGGTGGGTTCTTGCATGGCCGGTATGGCCGGGACAGGAGTCAATGGGTTAATGTACTCATTTGAAATGAACTGACACTACTCTTCAGACTGCTATCCTATTTAGTGCATACAGTGGAACCCCAATTAGTAGCAAACCCTGTTATAGTGAAGTAACATGGTGAGCTAGCATTATTATGGCAACTGTTTCAGAATGAAAAGGGGAACTCTGATTGATTCCCTGAACATTCCAAATTTTGCAACACGGACTGCTAAGGTGGACTCCTCATGCCTTTGTTTCAGTGACTTGCTTTTTCAAAACCCTGTAATGTTATGATGAACCCATTTTCCTAGTGTCTTGGCCCTTCATTTTGTCAAGGTTTTACTGTACTTGTGACATCTACATGTAGCAGGGATCCTCTTGGTTTTTTCTCCAAGTAAGCCAGATGACACAGATGACGCAAGTATGCCAAGATGACACACTTGCCCTGGCAAAATTTTACTTGCTCGTTGGCATACCATGCGATTCACTTTGGGATGGATACAATATGGCAAAACAATGTTTTAGTTTCATACATAATCAAAGGAATCACTCTTCTTGTTGAGAATTAGAAATATATTCAGCAAGGCTGAAGGTGTCCGTGGCAAACGGTTTTTCGGTCAGAACTGTTATTTCTGAATCACAGCAACGACATAGTACCATGAAATCCTAGGGATTCCAACACAACAGCATGTGAATGGAAAGTTTGCTTTTTTATTATTTTCACGTTACCAGTCTCCCAGTACATCATGTCTGTAGTTGCAGCTGTCAGCGGATGCAGAGAACGAGGTACAAATGAAATCCAAGGCCCCTTCAACTGCCATGAAGGCTGAAAGGAATGCTTTCACTCTTGCTGCTCGTATTTAGCTTGTTTTTCTGAAGTGTTAATGCTACTAAACGCCATATCCTGAACAAAATGATCAAAACAGCTGATGTGATTGCTCCACATGTTTTTCACAGATGCAGATGCAGTACAGAGCATCCTCAGTTGAAAAAATGAAAATTGAGCCAGCAATGATTTCATTCACACGTCATCCAAAATGACGATTTATCGTGAAAGAAAGCTGCAAATCTTTCTTTGTTTTCTACAAGTTTCAAATGGATAAAAAGTGGTCAGAGTGCAGGGAACTCGTAAGAAAATTTAACAATTTTTTTTTCTGGTAGAGTCAAACTAAACTCATTCAGCAGAAGAGTTTAAACTCGTCCAGCAGACGAGTTTCTGTATTGTTTTGGTCTTCGCTACGATTTTTTTTAGTCGTCACAGATGACCGGACAACTGTGATTATGGATCCCTGCATCTAATATTGTTGCCTTTGTTGACTATTTGCTCATCAAAATATTGAACTACAAATGTATTATTAGCCAGTTTATAGCCACAGAATTCCTTCAAGGGGTCAGTTAACTGTAGCTGTTAGTATGAATGACAGTCCTACAACCTACAATCATAGGCTTGCAATGAGTGTAGGAGGTACAAAGTCTGCAGAAGGATATGTATGCAGACTGTAGTCGAAGTGCTTTGCACGCATTGCAGACCTATAGGTGCCTTGAGATGCAGACGGTAATGTAATTGTAGCCCTCTACATGCATTGCAGGCCTATTGTACTACATGTAATACCCAGGCAGGCTGTATGTAGAGTGGGCTTTGCAGCTGTTGTATATCTCAAATTGTACTATGCGCAAGATAATTCTAATTGTGGTATGTAAATATAATAATGACGAAACCTGAATGAAGGTCACCAAGTATCCTAGCTGATGAAATAGTTAATGACAAACAAGCATTTTTCAAACAAGCATGTTTCTGATTCTCTTTTATTCACAGGTTTATCCATTTGACTTTTCGTACACTGAGCAAAACTGTGGCCTCCTGCAGTGTGGCCGCAATATCACCCACATGAAAGACCTTGCTCGCAAGTTTTTTCAAGGATCACAGAATGACTCTCGGCCATTCCTTCTTTATATTGGTTTCTTTGATGCCCATCGCAGTGCAAGTAATCCAAAATATGGTGAGTTTAATCAACACATTTTGGATGAGGTTTACAACATAAAAGTGGGAATTATCGGTGATTGTATGATTTTTGATAGTAAGTAAAATAAAGTGGAGTGTGCTGTGCATATTACTAAATCACAAGCTCAATTAACTGTTCAAAGAATCTTCAACTTAAGAAACAAATAATAATACAGCTCCAACACAAAAAATTGTGGCAGTTATGAACGTAACTTAGGCAGCTGTGAAAAAAGATCCTGAAAAAATTTGGACTTAAATGGGATTCAAACCCATGACTCAGCGATACCAGTGCAGTGCAATATTTTCTGGAATACATCTTGATTCTTTGGGGGCAAGCCAAAGTTCTACATTCTCTGTTGCATTTCTTGGGATAGTTCCCATATGGAGCAAGTACAGTCAAAATTTACTGTCAGAATTTGCTGTCCATCCCTGACAAAACAGGAAGCAAATATCTACAAACTTTTGAGAACTGTTGATGTAAATGTACCTCAGTCAGTTAGGTTCACAATAATTGTTCAAATGTGCTATTGGTATCTGTACAGTGTGCATATGACCTAACTTCCTCAACACAATATCCATGTTCATGTATATTGATTTCTTGGACAAGCTGTAGAAGTTGCACACAATTATTTCTAGACATTATTTACACATGTGCTAATTTTCTGACCCAAAGCATCGAAAGCCATTTGATGGCATCCTTATTTTCCACCAGTAGTATTATTAAATGAGAAACTGATATTAAAATTTAATTCAGAAAGGATAGTTTACCACATAAGTCAGAACCAAATTCTTTTTAATCTATTGGAGATAGCAAGTATACTCCAGTTGCCTTGTATAGTCTGGGGTGAATGTTTTGATAGGTGAAGGAAATTCCTGGCTTATATTTAGCTTGTCTAATACCAGTATTAGGTGGCTCATATTGCATAGCAGTTGTACCCTTAATATCTGCCTTGCTATGAATTGCCACCTGCTGCCGCCTGACCTCTTAGCATATTTGGTAGAGCAACGGTGAACTACACTGAGTTGTAATACTCAGAGGTCGTGGATTCAAATCTCGCCGAGGTTACGGCGTGCAATGCCCAGTCTCCCTCCTAGGGCTACCGTCCAAAGGGAATTAATGCTTTAGTTTTTCGTTCAAGAAAGTGGTCCGCTATCGGAAAATATACAAATCCAACGTAGATATATTTGTTTTAGTTCGTTTTGCATTTCTGAGTTACAGGTTGCTGTTCCAGTTCATTGACCGTAACAGACACCTGCTAGTTTGTTGTGGGATCATAACTGTAATAAGCGTTGAACTGTAATTGCAACATGCGATAGTCTTTTGTTAAACTGTTATCTACCTGTATTGTTTTGAAAGTTATTGGTGTTGTAAACGATGAATTCCGTTATAGCCGATCGAGCTTTCTGAAATGTATTAGATAATGTTAAGTTAAGAATTTTTAATAGCTTTACGTAATCCTTTAGAATTGTGCTTTCGGCTTAAATAGTCGTGCCTTGTAAAATAATCTTGGGTTACATACTGGTTACATTCGGGTACGTTCCGAGGACGTTAGTGGATTAAACTCTACTGGTGGACCCAAGAACTGTGTATTCTCTGTCTTCCCGTTGGATTGTTTTGCTGTAACAGATCCCGAGTCCTCTAGGAGTCTGACAAACTCCGTCGCTGCAAGCGTGTTTCCCTCTGGATGGTTGTAACAAGGATAACAACTTAAGCGGCCCAAAAACCTGTTATCACAATGAACATTTGTTCTTGTTACTGTAAACTGCGCAGTACTGAATATCTGGGCAACTCTTTTCTTGGACGAGAATCAAGTTTGTTCTTCATTTTTCTTGGCTTTGCGGAAGCTTCAAGCGTCTTGTATAGCTTTAGTAAATCATTCTCCTTTTTTATAGGGCCATTTTGTGAGAGGTTTGGAAATGGCGAGCCAGGCATGGGAGTTATACCGGATTGGAAGCCACTACACTACTCCCCTGACGAAGTTGTGGTGCCGTTTTATACACAACACACACCAGCCGCTCGAGATGAGATTGCTAAGCAGTACACTTCAGTCAGCCGTCTTGATCAGGGAATAGGGCTTATACTAGAAGAACTTCGCCAGGCAGGTTTTGAAGAGAACACCCTGGTTATTTTCAGCTCTGATAATGGGATCCCTTTTCCTGGTGCGAAGACTAACCTCTATCATCCTGGTATGGCTGAGCCCTACCTTGTTTCATCCCCTGAGGCCCCTGAACGTTGGGGCCACATAAGTGACGCCATGGTGAGCTTATTGGATATAGTACCTACTGTGCTGGATTGGTTGAAAATTGACTATCCCACTTACAGGCTGTTTGGATCGAAGTCTGTGAAGCTGACTGGTAAGTCTGTCTTACCAGTGCTACATCAAGAACCACGGGAAGGATGGGATACAGCTTTTGCCAGTCACGACTTACATGAAGTGACAATGTATTATCCAATGAGAGTCCTGCAGAAGAAAAATTTCAAACTTATTCACAACCTTGCCTACAAGATGCCGTATCCAGTTGCCTATGATATCTTCAGATCCGCTACTTACCAGGACCTTTTGAATCGGACACGAGAGGGGAGGCCCACGGGATGGTTTCGCACATTGGAGCAGTATTATTACCGAGCACAGTGGGAACTGTTTGACTTGAACACTGACCCTAAAGAGCTGACAAACCTGTTTGATAAACCGCAATATCAGAAATTGGTGAAAGAGATGCGTCTTGAGCTGTTGGCTTGGCGAGAGACAACTAATGATCACTGGATATGCTATCCAGGAGGTGTTCTGGTCGATGGTGCTTGTTATTCCATGGATAATGGCCTGTGATCTATGACTCTTGTCGTAAACCCTGCTCTTTCCTCTTGGAGATGAAAAGCTCTAACTTCCTACCCTGTAAATTACCGTATTTTTTCCGATTAAACGCCCTTGACGTTTATTTCAAACTTGGTTTCGCATTTTTTTGACTTTTGCAGTGTATTTGAGCCTGGAGTTAATTAGAGTTTGTATTGATTGTTATTTTTGAGAGCTAAATATCTTATAGTTATACCTAAAGTTTATTATACCTCGAATACAAATTCCTCGAAGGTCTTATTTACGAATCTACCAGGCAGACCAGGCGTTTATTTGGGCGATATTCCAAAAAATACGGTATCTTAATCTTTGAATTTTTATTGATTGAAATCGTTAGCAATAATAGAAATGCACAAATACTGTGATACTCAATCATATATTACAGGACAAAATAGTGTACAAACTAGTAACATTCCAAGACTGCAGAATGATTATGTCAATCAATAGGTCCAAGTTGTCCGTAGTAACGAGGGAAGAGCAATAAGAATATTAGTTTGGGACCACGTGAGGTGTCGCTATTTGGTGTCTGTAACAGCTAGAGTCCGTGTCAGTGGGATTTGCTTCCCTACATTTCTCTCTGTTTTCGGCCATGGATGTAGCTTCTGCCTGTAATAATGGGATGTCCAGAAGGGGAGAGTTGACTGTAAGTAGAATTTATGGAAGTTTAACTTCCAGTATTCACCTTCGCTGTATTGTATTTACTGCCGGCGCCTTTCAATAACACGCGAACTTACAAGTTAAAATCCTAACTAACGACTGCGCTTTTGGCTGCCGTCAATTATCATTACGATGACAACCAATGAACTTTGAGAAAAAAAAACAAATGGATCGAGATCTACCAATCACAACCCACATTAGTAACTTTTACAACCTTCTAAAGAAGACTTCTAAAAGTTTCGGGGGTTGTTGAAAGGCCCAGCGCAGTAATACTGAATTGCAAGCAATTTTTTTTTTCATGTTTTAAAATAGTCCACGCTTAAATATGTCTAAGACTCCAAGAGGGGAGCTTATCGGGTGCATGGTCATTTTGGTGTGTTTTAAATAATATAACACTTAATATATTGCAAGTTAATATATGAAAGATCATTGTATATAATTTGTCTCAAATGGAGTAAATCTTTGGCCCGCACTTTCCATCCTTTAAACCAAAATTTTGCAAAACTTTTATGACGGTGCAAACGGTACCGAATTTTCTCGACTAAAGTTTGCGGAAAAACCAAGAACTGATGAATTTCTAAGATTCGAACCGTTGACTCAAAGGTTTGAAAATTCTGAGAGCAAAATCAAATAAAACGGAAACTTTTGGTAAGAACTTATCGAAAATTTAGGAGGTTTTCCTCTTTTAAGAAAATTCCAGAAAGTGCTGTTCCATTCGCCACTGGAAATTTCAGAAATTGAAATCGGAGTTTTTGGTCGAACGGAAATTGGTCTTTGTTGGGAGATTTAAACACCGTTCGGTAATTTTCTTATTGTCGATTTAACAAATTGAAACTAGTTTTTTATGCGTCTGTCCTCTTATTGATGATAAATTGCGTCATAACATTGTCAAAGTGCATGTAGAACCACGAGCTGCAGGCGAGTGGTTCCGCAGTAAACTTTGACAATGTTATGACGAAATTTATCATCAATAAAAGGACAGACGTATAAAAACCTGACGTCAATTTGTTTTTTTACAATAACTGTCTAATTTCTCGCGCGCTGATTGGCTCATTTTTATCATCAATAAGAGTACGGACAGATAAAATGTTAATTTATGCAAGCTTTCAAGTTCAACTTGCAGATGTCAAACTGTCAACTTTTTAACCAATGAGATTTTATGGACTTTTTTAAGTAGCCAAACAAAAGGCGAAAAAATCTGTTGACAATGTTCGCGTCATTTTGAATAAAATTCACTTATCTTTGTTTGCGGCAAGTTTACGGTGTCTTTTCCCCTCATTTATTCCCGGTATTTGACCATTTTGGGGTCTTGTTATTGTAAAATACAGGTTTTAACCGACTTTCATGACTGTTATAGAGATCACTTTTCTTATTGTCCTGTTTTTTAATGCCGTCACGAGAAGTAAAATTTATTTTGTATTGTATTTATTTTCTTTTACAGGTATAGTGCGATTATGGCTCCTGACAATAAGTAAGTTGTGAATAACTTGGGTCGCCAGACTAAACACTTGTGTAGTTATAATCGTATCGCACCCTACTATAGCGTAGACTGCTGGCAGTCTGTTTTTCTCTCGAAATTCAGCAGGGGTTATGAGGAATGACGCTTTTGTGTAAAGGGGAATGGGACGAGAAATGGGCGCGGCACGCACGTCCCGCCTTCTTCCCCACTCGGCCACCGCCATACTGCCCTTTTGCGTTCGCGATGACTAAACACTCGTCTAAATGACCCTAAGAGAAAAAACCGGCTGCCAGCAGACTAACGATAGTGAATCGAATGGAATATTGCTTTATTAACATCAAATCTAAAATCCAACTTTTGTAACATTCCTAACGTTTTTTAAGCTTGCTTTGGATAGATTTTCCGAATTTACGACAAAAGGACTCATCTTTTGAAAATATGGTCACGTGATTAAATCCCTCATTTAACCGTATGATTTCGGTGGACATTTCAGTGAGATCTAAACGACGTGATATATGAAATGGCGGGAAAATAGCACCATGATTGTAGTCACGATTGCCTGCTAAATTCACGTTTCCGACGATTGCTTTTTGTTCTACACTCAGAATTGGTCCATATTTATTTTACAAAGAGAAATTTATTATTCAATTCAAAACAACAGAAAAAAATGATAGGTCACCATACTCATTCACGAGAAAATGACGATTTACCTGTACGGCGAGGTCCAACTGTAAAGAAAAAGCCGCCATTTTTTAATGAGAGTTAAGTTTTGACTTCAGAGGACAAAACGAAACCGAATACAACAGAATTTCTACTCTTTTACTATAATAACGGATAACATTTGATAAAACACCAGAAAATAATGGCGAAAGACACATTTAAAAACCAATTTGAAAACAAGAAATCAGATAATTTCTTCACTGCGTGACAAAGTAATACAGCGCAGCAAAAGAAAGATGAAAGTTGTACATCAAAAAGACGACAAAAACAAGCCAATTATTTTGAGATAAATCATATTACAAATGTGTTAATTTAGCTCCCACTTAGTTCTTCTCTCAAGAGTTCTGTAGTAGCTGAATAAGACTCAAAAAATATATTTAAATGAAGTGAATAAACTAAACAAACAAACCACGGGGGTCGCCGTAAATTAAATATACAGAAATCCAGTGTGCAAAAATACTGTTCACTTTTAAAACCTGAAATTCGCAAATAAAGGCAACCACATGAAAGAAACGTGACAGGAAGTTCAATAACAATAAATTTTCATTCAAAATGAGGCAAAAAACTTATCTAAAAGCATAAAAATGTTCAAAATTTTGCAGACGTGCTTCGCTGCATGACCGCATGTTCAAATTAATTCCTCACGCTAAAGTGAAAGCTTGAGATTTTGCCGACGAGTTTTGCAGTTATTTTATCAGCCATGGCCTTACCAATTGTTCTAAAAATTGAATTCAACTTCAAAGTAATACTGTACATTACCATTTTTGTTTTCTTAAGTCCAGGAAGCTGTTTCAAATCCGCGATCTGTATTCAAAACTCACTTGAAAGCGTACTGATTGTCATGTTTTCGCGGAGGGTGAAGGAAGGAAAAATTCTTCACCAGAAAGGTTTGAGGGCTCTGAACACCTTGATCTTCCATTCTGAGGCCACCTAAACATCAATTTATGTTTTTCCTTTCTATTTTAAGTGCCAAAGAAGTAATTTTGTCCGTTTTAGGAATGAAAACAAGACCCTGGAAGTTTGTGGATTTGGCCCGCAATGCACCATGATTACCTGCACTTTTCGAGTGCATGATTTTAAGACGAAAAACCGTCTTTCAAGGACCCCTAAAGTCCTCTAAAAATATGCTCTGTAAGTCGATTTTGATTGGTTTATTTGTCTTTAACAACAATAGAACAATAAGAGAACTAAAACGTCTTCAGGGAGGGTAGGAGAGGCAATTGTCCTCACATGCTTTTGTCACAGCCAGTTATGGCCGGCACAGGAAATTGGGGGTGGGTTCTTGCATGGCCGGTATGGCCGGGACAGGAGTCAATGGGTTAATGTACTCATTTGAAATGAACTGACACTACTCTTCAGACTGCTATCCTATTTAGTGCATACAGTGGAACCCCAATTAGTAGCAAACCCTGTTATAGTGAAGTAACATGGTGAGCTAGCATTATTATGGCAACTGTTTCAGAATGAAAAGGGGAACTCTGATTGATTCCCTGAACATTCCAAATTTTGCAACACGGACTGCTAAGGTGGACTCCTCATGCCTTTGTTTCAGTGACTTGCTTTTTCAAAACCCTGTAATGTTATGATGAACCCATTTTCCTAGTGTCTTGGCCCTTCATTTTGTCAAGGTTTTACTGTACTTGTGACATCTACATGTAGCAGGGATCCTCTTGGTTTTTTCTCCAAGTAAGCCAGATGACACAGATGACGCAAGTATGCCAAGATGACACACTTGCCCTGGCAAAATTTTACTTGCTCGTTGGCATACCATGCGATTCACTTTGGGATGGATACAATATGGCAAAACAATGTTTTAGTTTCATACATAATCAAAGGAATCACTCTTCTTGTTGAGAATTAGAAATATATTCAGCAAGGCTGAAGGTGTCCGTGGCAAACGGTTTTTCGGTCAGAACTGTTATTTCTGAATCACAGCAACGACATAGTACCATGAAATCCTAGGGATTCCAACACAACAGCATGTGAATGGAAAGTTTGCTTTTTTATTATTTTCACGTTACCAGTCTCCCAGTACATCATGTCTGTAGTTGCAGCTGTCAGCGGATGCAGAGAACGAGGTACAAATGAAATCCAAGGCCCCTTCAACTGCCATGAAGGCTGAAAGGAATGCTTTCACTCTTGCTGCTCGTATTTAGCTTGTTTTTCTGAAGTGTTAATGCTACTAAACGCCATATCCTGAACAAAATGATCAAAACAGCTGATGTGATTGCTCCACATGTTTTTCACAGATGCAGATGCAGTACAGAGCATCCTCAGTTGAAAAAATGAAAATTGAGCCAGCAATGATTTCATTCACACGTCATCCAAAATGACGATTTATCGTGAAAGAAAGCTGCAAATCTTTCTTTGTTTTCTACAAGTTTCAAATGGATAAAAAGTGGTCAGAGTGCAGGGAACTCGTAAGAAAATTTAACAATTTTTTTTTCTGGTAGAGTCAAACTAAACTCATTCAGCAGAAGAGTTTAAACTCGTCCAGCAGACGAGTTTCTGTATTGTTTTGGTCTTCGCTACGATTTTTTTTAGTCGTCACAGATGACCGGACAACTGTGATTATGGATCCCTGCATCTAATATTGTTGCCTTTGTTGACTATTTGCTCATCAAAATATTGAACTACAAATGTATTATTAGCCAGTTTATAGCCACAGAATTCCTTCAAGGGGTCAGTTAACTGTAGCTGTTAGTATGAATGACAGTCCTACAACCTACAATCATAGGCTTGCAATGAGTGTAGGAGGTACAAAGTCTGCAGAAGGATATGTATGCAGACTGTAGTCGAAGTGCTTTGCACGCATTGCAGACCTATAGGTGCCTTGAGATGCAGACGGTAATGTAATTGTAGCCCTCTACATGCATTGCAGGCCTATTGTACTACATGTAATACCCAGGCAGGCTGTATGTAGAGTGGGCTTTGCAGCTGTTGTATATCTCAAATTGTACTATGCGCAAGATAATTCTAATTGTGGTATGTAAATATAATAATGACGAAACCTGAATGAAGGTCACCAAGTATCCTAGCTGATGAAATAGTTAATGACAAACAAGCATTTTTCAAACAAGCATGTTTCTGATTCTCTTTTATTCACAGGTTTATCCATTTGACTTTTCGTACACTGAGCAAAACTGTGGCCTCCTGCAGTGTGGCCGCAATATCACCCACATGAAAGACCTTGCTCGCAAGTTTTTTCAAGGATCACAGAATGACTCTCGGCCATTCCTTCTTTATATTGGTTTCTTTGATGCCCATCGCAGTGCAAGTAATCCAAAATATGGTGAGTTTAATCAACACATTTTGGATGAGGTTTACAACATAAAAGTGGGAATTATCGGTGATTGTATGATTTTTGATAGTAAGTAAAATAAAGTGGAGTGTGCTGTGCATATTACTAAATCACAAGCTCAATTAACTGTTCAAAGAATCTTCAACTTAAGAAACAAATAATAATACAGCTCCAACACAAAAAATTGTGGCAGTTATGAACGTAACTTAGGCAGCTGTGAAAAAAGATCCTGAAAAAATTTGGACTTAAATGGGATTCAAACCCATGACTCAGCGATACCAGTGNCAGACTACCAAGGTAGACACAAACCGGAAGTGAACCGAGCAGGGGTGAGTACTTATGGGACTACTGTACCTGAGCTATCAATTGCGCTCTGCACTATCTGAGATTGTCTCACTAGTTTATTTCAAAATTGAAGTTCTCATATGACAAATATTCAGTGGACAAAGTTTGAACAAAAATCTATTGTCACTTTTATTTCAGAGGAATTACCTTAACTGAAGTATAAAAGGACAGGACCCAATTGTAAGTGAACAAACTTTACCAGAGTGCTGAGCTTAATTTTTTTTGCGTCCGGTTTGGTTTTTGGTTTTTTACTGCTCTTCATCTTCATTCAGTCGCTTTTGTTGTACGTTTGTAATTGCAAGCCTTTTCGATTATCCTGTTATTTCCTGTATTTAAGCAGTAGAAATCTTACTTAAATGGCTGTTTTCACTATTTTTCCCACAGAACTTTCCATTACGCCAAAAATTTTAAACTTAAGCGACACTTGCCGCTCTCATTTTCGATATAACGTCAAACACAGGTAAGTTTTTATAATTGCCGGTAGGAGTACTGTATTTTTCAGAAAGCTGAACGCCGAATGCACTCTTTGCTTGCAGTTTAGTAGTTTCACTAGTAGTTGAAGGACAGCACTATATTGCTTATGGCCCTGTCCAACAAATAAAAGCTAACCACAAACAAATATGAGTGAAACTAACCGCAAGCAAACAGTGCATTCGGCATTCGGCGTTCAGCAAATTAGCCCTGCCGCATAATGGCTGGTAACTTAAATTCAGTGAACCGATCAGAAAGCTAGAAACACATTTGATTATCCGAGGTCCAGAATTTAATGTATATGAAAACCTGCTGCAAAGACGTATGAATCAAACTAAATAACAGATCCCTGTTGTAACCATTCGTGGGCCAATTCGAGGAAATTAGAAACGGGATTCGCTTTCAAGTTCCAGGCCTTGCTTTCTGAAGAAGATAATTAATTGCCTTTTACGATGAACGTTGAAGCCGAACTGAATCCTTCGTTAAGTCCTTCAAACTAGCAGGATTAGGAAGTTCCAATTACCGCTGCTAGGTGTGGGGGGCAAGCCCGACCCCCACACCCGCTCCCCGGTGGAGGAAGGGGCGTTTAAACTCTGGGAAACAGTGAGATCTGTATGCAGTGCCTTCATGAAGGTTTAAGACGAAAAAGTGGACTCAGGCAAAATTTGTTTACTTTGATTTAACTGGACATCGTTATCTTTTCTAACATGTAGTTTCACCGCATAGCATAACGTTTGACAGTTACAATGTGTTGCATGATTCTTAAATGTCAGTATCATAGACTGTCCAAAAAAACTAAAACAATTCAGTTGTCTAACCAATCAATGCTCACATAGCAAGAAGAAAATTACAGTGTACTTTTTCCTTCCGTCTGATTGGCTCAAAAGACATCTTGCTTTTGATTGATGAGACAGTAAGATGATAGGCTGGAGGCCTTTAAACTATTATGAAGACCAGTAAGCCAAAGTTACCATATTGCTTCTAAGAGTCGTCGTGATATTAAATCAAATAATGTTAACGATATTTAAGAGTAATAACATGTGCAACCAGCGCAAACGAGACAGAGCGTGCTGTCAGGGACAAACGAGAAAAAAGATCTTCTAGGTCCACCCCTTGAGGGAATGCAATGTGAGCTGGGCAAAGTCTGCATTTTGAGAGCTTGCTGTTGAAACGAATATTCTTGGTCCCCGTCTTCGAGAATGGAACAAGATGCCAAATCTGATGCTGTGACGTTGAGATATGACGTCATGCGCATGTCATGATATGGCTTCAGAGTGACGTTGGCATATGGCCTGACACAGCTCTCCTCAAGCTCAGCTCTGGGTTCTTTTCTGAAGCGTTTCTTTCGTCTCATGAAACTTCCTCCTTCAAACATGTGCGCGCTTTCCGGATGAAGACACCATAAGTGTCCTTTACTGGGATTCGCCGGATCTCGAAAAGTCTTCACAAAGCAGTCGTTAAGGGAAAGATTGTGGCGGATTGAATTTTTCCATCCTTTGGCTGGACAGCTGTCGCCGTAGTACGGAAACCTGTTCTTGATGTGCTCGATGATGCCACTTAACGTCTGACGTCGATTGGACGATTCCAGAATGGCCATTACTATCAAAGAGATGTAAGAGTACGGCGGTTTGCCCTTCTTCCTGTCATTTAGGTCCACAGATCTGTCAAAATGACTAAGCCTGACTTGGGTTGCTCTTTCTCGCTTCATAGCTTCCTTTATAGTGGCAGACTTCTCTGAAGACTCGGACGCCATCTTCGATTAAGATTGTATTGGCTTATCGCTGTAAACGCACCACAACCTTTCGTCACAAGTGATACTCGACTAAAGTAAATTGATTAAATTGAGAATGATCCTAAAGAACTGGCTGATCATTCTCTGTTTTAATGCCGCCGGTAATTCTTTAGTCGCTGTTTTCACAATGAACACTAATTTCAGTTTAATGAAAAAGTCAATAAAGTGTGAAGCCCAAACTTTGCCGCAACAGTTATTTCAAAGCGTGGAATAAAACCATGAGAAAAAGATGGCTTTGAGCATCCTGTTCAATCATATAGACATATACAGTAGTTTATTAACAAATTACATGTTTCAGTGTCGTACAATTTATTTTTCACCTGGATATCATTTCCAAGAATCAAGAACATGTAAATTCACCTTATCATTTGACCGCTCTATCAGACAAATAGGTGTAGAGAATTAGGGAAAATCATCAATTGAGGTGGGGGCTGGGGTTTGGGGTTTGGAGTTTTTGATGTGCCTCTTTATACTCATGAAATCTGTAAGGGGAATAAATATTTGGAACTTACCCGATAAGTATATTAGTTATGGAAAGCGATCGGAGTGAAGGGTATTTTATATTATTAATTAATGTAAAGCCGATCTTTCCTATTTTGATGAGAGAGCGTTTACAAAACGCCTTACGCTGCTATCTGAATGGCATTAAACTAGAAGAACAATCCACTAATTGCCTCGTTTTAATTTAAAATGAAAGCGATACTCCTCGCATCGCTTTAGCCACGAGCCTAAGCCTCGTCACAAACTAAAAATTCCAGGAAAAAGATTAAAAACAGGAAGAGCTGCGATCGAAGGTCCACACGACAGAAAATAGGCGAAGACTGTGTTCACAAGACAGACAAGACAAGCAAACAAATGAAAGACCCGTACGTTTTATCGATGGAATAAAATCTCAGTGGGGAATTTCACACACAGCTTATTTTACTGAACGTAGTCCGCCTCAAATCAAAAAGTAATTTTAGACAGGGAAGTGGAGTCAGAACCTTTCGCGACAGTTAAGCGAGCGGGGTATTTAAAAATAATTGACATAGTTTACTCATTGCAATACTTATAGGAATTTTAAAAATATAATGTAAACAATTTACGGTGAAAGTTATTGAACCGTGAATCAAGTTAATCAGTTAGATGAATAATTTCTCGGTCTAAAGTCTTCGGAATTAAGCAAACAAGGCGCTATTTGAAGAAATCGCGGTAAAAAATATATAAAATGCTCATTGTACATGATTTCTTCACTTGCCGCTCTTTAAATTTTGACAACTTATTATGGGAAATAGCGACATCGCTTTGGCAAATAGGTAAAAATCAATTTTAACGTGTCGAATGAGTACAATGGGCTAAAATAAAACTACAGACCGTTTTTACCTTAAAATTAATCGTGTAACCTTTGCAACAAAGAAAACCTTCGTTAAACACAAACATTTTTATTACAGGATATGATAATTCTTGGGAAAAGGTAAGCTGTGAAAAAATACATCGCTTTTGTTCGATTTAATTTCGGTTAAACGACAAACCAATGAAACGTCTTAGTGACTAAAAACAAACTAGTGAGTTGATTTCGTAGAGTACTATCTGAATCAACATTTTGCTTAATCTATATACTTCAGTTTAACAGTTTTTGCACTTGTGTTGAAGCTGATGCAAAAACAGTGTATGTTAAATGATTAGTTATGCAAACAGCCCACCGTTTGTAAGTACACAAAAGTAAAGTTAAGATAAACAGATGCTTCGGTCCCGAGCAGTCTTTTGTCATAACTTAACTGTATAAAGTTATCAATATTTTATCAGTTTCATCGTTTATGCTTCCTTTGAGTGTAGCGTTTCACTGAATTAATTTTTTCGTATGTAAATTCACCACCAAATTGCTTACTTCCAGTTCTAAAACCGAAATTATAAACTATTTCAGAAATGGGTTGTGTAGTACACTTTGTCACCGTTAATGTACATGTGTAAGACTAACTTGTACCGTTTTAGTAGTTTTTAGCTTTATCTATAATATAAACGGTTTGACTAATCTTTGTCGTGGGAAATAAATTTTGAGAGACTTGTGTTCTTTTGCAAACGTTTGTATTTTGGTTTTCTAAACAAATACATAACCTATCTCATTTGACTAATGTCTGGTCGAAAATGAGCGAGAGCAGGTCTTCAATTTGGATAACAACTGGTGAATAAAGAATTTTTAAGGTACCTAAAGACAAATTTGAACTTCAGAACAGGCTTTTTAACAACAAAAAAAAATTAGCCAAATAAATGAGGGTCGTAATGACCTGTCTAATTGTTCCAATGCTTCATCGGATAGGGAACCTTTTGTGTACTCAGTGTAAACTGCCTCAAAACTGTCAGCCATAAAATAAGCTCAAATGTTTGTCTTCAACCGGCAAACTGAAGTGCTATTTTTCCTTTTGAATCTAAAACCAAAGTGCATTTTTAAACAGGACCAATAAAATGCTTCTTTAAAATATAGACAGTATCGTATTCTACCATTAGTCTGCTTATTGTTCACTCAGTCACTAAACTATGGTATATTTTGGGAATACTGCATTTCGAACCGACAAAAGCCATGTTTTAGGACGACGTGCTTTTTTGGACCGGAAATCCTCAATGCCTCACACATAAATAGTAAGATACAAATGTTACTCATTCCCGAGGGAAGCTGTCAATTATATTGCGCGCATTTTAAGTAATGTTATCATCAAGCCACAATTTTCGAAAGTTAACCCAGCTCGGTTTTAATTATTTTCCCCACAGTTCTTTTTGGGCACGTTTATTAAATTTTCACCGACGTTTTCTTACTGTTATTGACTTCTGCTAGGTGAAATTCAGTCTAGGAAAATTCAACAAGACTAAGCTCACACAAGTTAAAAACTCAAGGCGGTGTTAAAGTTTTAGGAATATTCTATTATGTATAAAATAAAATATCGTATAAAGATAAATATATTTTAACTGGGAAATTTTTAAGACGCGCAAAGAAAGACAAAATTTACGTGAGCTGCTTTGTCCCACGACTATAGCGCCCGCAGGCAGGCAAGCGGCCTACATTACACATGTCAGACGTTGCGTTGTGTATGCCTGAATCCTAGTATCACGGTACTTGGGCCAATAGAAGGAAAAAAGTCAAGACTAAGCCAAATAACACAATGAAATACTAAGATGACCAAATGCTTCAGTTGTAACTGTCGGTGATAGTGTGAGACAATATTCGAAATTTTATTTGGAGTAATTCTGAGAGTTGGTAATGAGTTTTTCGGCTACACCGGTCACATCTCGTCATGATTTCTCCTTACAATTTGAATACGTTATCAAGCAGACGAGTGATGAGAATAAACGAATCATCAATTAAGAGATTGACTTGACGTATTTCTTAATTCTCAAAACTGACTTCAAAAGAAATGTATTGCAATAAACAAGAATTGATAGTTCAGTTCAATTTCAAATAGACTGGGTTTTGGAAATGTTGAGATCGAATCTGTGAATAACACGGAAAAGTGTACAGTAGAACATGGGTAGGTAGTTGTAAGGTAGATTTAAACATCTAACAAAGAGAAGTTTGTCTTAATTCGTATAACAAAGTTTTGAGATTATAATGTGGTTTCGTCGAACGGAACCAAAGCTCAAGCTTCTTTTCTAAACTTTGATATTTGGCTGGTAGTTTCAAATCATTGACACCGCTGGAAAGAATGCGTATTTTGCACGAGGTGAAGGTATCACTATATATGACCTATATATAGCTTGAGATTTTTATTCGAGATATTTTTGTGTTGCATATTGAACAAAACATCTGTAAAACCTACAAACTTTCTATCTTGAACTCCCTGAAATAACCCATATATTTAGGAATGATCTTTGTTCTATAGAACAAGGCATTTGATGTAGTCTACCAAAGACAAATTTCCATTAGTAGAGAGAAGCACCCCTTAGAGTTAGATATATAGAATTCTTTGACAAAGTCATATCTTCGAAGTGAACATATTAATTCATGTGAGGGGTTTCGAGGTTACTATGCAGAAAAGTGTTGTTTTTGTTACAATAATAACTTACGGGCAAGTAAGGAGCTCATTTTAAAGCATTTTATTTTATTGGATTGGAATTTTCCGTGAAGGTAACTAAACAAGGAAGGGAGTGATGACGGTGAAGAAGTCGTTTGTTCGTGTGTCATAACAATCTATCTCTGCGTGTAATATTTATGCAATCGATCTTTTGATCGCTTTTATTTCGTGGAACTGTTTTTGTAACCAAAACGAACGGCGTCTATTCAAAAACAACTTCAAAAGGTAAACACTCCGTCTTAACAATTAAAACATCTGAAATAATAACACAGAACAATGCAATACTCAAACGTTTTCTTTGTATGTCTTCTCAAAAGAGAAAAACTATGAATTCAAAGTTATTTGTTGTTATAGGTTATGGATGTTCTTAGTACCGCAGGGCCCACACAAAGGCAATTCGTGTGAAAATGTAGAATTAAAAGCAGATGTTAATTGTAGATCTTCCTCTACCCCTGCAGTGATTCCAGAGATGCTCGTTTTCTTAAAATGCCCAAGTTCCTAAAATGTATATATTTTCTTTTCCTGATGTTTTGATCGATTAGAGAATTTGCTCAATTCATCAGAGCTTAAAACAGCCTTCGAACTTCCAAGAGATTATATCGGGGAGAGAGTCTACAAAGATAAGCGCCAAACATTTATCGTAACTTTGCCAAACTTTGGCACTAAAGGAGTTTGTTTTGGACTTGCCCCAACCCAAATCTTTCGAAGACTTAATTAGCAATTTGTAATTCTTCTTTTCTTAATTTTCCTTAATATTCAAATACAAAATGCCGAGTACCAAACGTGTTGTGTATTGATGAGTAAATGAGTGTTTGTAATTGCTTCTTTGTGAGCTTTCAATTCTGTTTTTCGGTAGCTTTGAGCAATTGTAACATGAATTGGTTACTTACATATTAAAGCTGATAGCGATAATGCTGAGTGACTAATGACTTTTTTGTTTACATTTGATGTTCGTCAAATGATAAATGGCTAAATTTAAGGTTTGGCAAACATCTGTAGCGGCAAGATTCATTTCATATTACAAAACGCTTTTATTACAAAAACTTGGCCACAGAGGAAAAATAACAAATACATCGAAATGAGAAGGTAATTTGGGTTTGGTAGGTGTTATACCAAGGGATTCTTGGGCGTTAAGGGAAAAATAAAAGCTCAAACTTACTCTCGTCACTGTTTCATTTATTCTTTTTTAACCATCCCTGAAGGACTTATTGTATTGTTCCACAATCATTTCTTATTTACACAATTCACTAAACACTGGAAAGATGGACTTGAAATTACAATTTATCTATATTAAATCCTAGAAATAGAAACTTTTGCAACTGCCTCCTAAATGAACAAAACGCTATTCATTTTGGCCACGAAAAAGATAACGTCATTCGTCAGTGCGATTTTGTTCTGTAGCAGTTTTAGTTCAGGTTTAAAAAGCGCTTTGCCAGTCCGCACCATCCATCACATGTGAAAATTCTTGATTTAACTGTACAATCGTGCTTAGAAAATGTGAAATTCATTTTACAGCAATATTACCCCATACGGAAAACCGTCGACAGTCATGATCGCGCTGGCTGACAAATAGGTGTTAAAAAAATTCTCGGTAAATTCATACATCAGACCAAACTTAGGATAATTCTTGACAGAGTTTGTTNTGTAAAGCCGATCTTTCCTATTTTGATGAGAGAGCGTTTACAAAACGCCTTACGCTGCTATCTGAATGGCATTAAACTAGAAGAACAATCCACTAATTGCCTCGTTTTAATTTAAAATGAAAGCGATACTCCTCGCATCGCTTTAGCCACGAGCCTAAGCCTCGTCACAAACTAAAAATTCCAGGAAAAAGATTAAAAACAGGAAGAGCTGCGATCGAAGGTCCACACGACAGAAAATAGGCGAAGACTGTGTTCACAAGACAGACAAGACAAGCAAACAAATGAAAGACCCGTACGTTTTATCGATGGAATAAAATCTCAGTGGGGAATTTCACACACAGCTTATTTTACTGAACGTAGTCCGCCTCAAATCAAAAAGTAATTTTAGACAGGGAAGTGGAGTCAGAACCTTTCGCGACAGTTAAGCGAGCGGGGTATTTAAAAATAATTGACATAGTTTACTCATTGCAATACTTATAGGAATTTTAAAAATATAATGTAAACAATTTACGGTGAAAGTTATTGAACCGTGAATCAAGTTAATCAGTTAGATGAATAATTTCTCGGTCTAAAGTCTTCGGAATTAAGCAAACAAGGCGCTATTTGAAGAAATCGCGGTAAAAAATATATAAAATGCTCATTGTACATGATTTCTTCACTTGCCGCTCTTTAAATTTTGACAACTTATTATGGGAAATAGCGACATCGCTTTGGCAAATAGGTAAAAATCAATTTTAACGTGTCGAATGAGTACAATGGGCTAAAATAAAACTACAGACCGTTTTTACCTTAAAATTAATCGTGTAACCTTTGCAACAAAGAAAACCTTCGTTAAACACAAACATTTTTATTACAGGATATGATAATTCTTGGGAAAAGGTAAGCTGTGAAAAAATACATCGCTTTTGTTCGATTTAATTTCGGTTAAACGACAAACCAATGAAACGTCTTAGTGACNTGTAAAGCCGATCTTTCCTATTTTGATGAGAGAGCGTTTACAAAACGCCTTACGCTGCTATCTGAATGGCGTTAAACTAGAAGAACAATCCACTAATTACCTCTTATTTCAATTTAAAATGAAAGCGATACTCCTCGTATCGCTTTAGCCACGAACCTAAGCCTCATGTCACAAACGAAAAATACCAAGAGAAAGATTAAAAACAGGAAGAGCTACGATCGAAGGTCCACACGACAGAAAATAGGCGAAGATTGTGTTCACAAGACAGTCAAGACAAGCAAACAAATGAAAGACCCGTACGTTTTATTGATGGAATAAATCTCAGTGGGGAACTTCACACACAGCTTATTTTACTGAACGTAGTCCCCCTCAAATCAAACAGGAATTTTAGACAGGGAAGTAGAGTTAGAAACTTTCGCGACAGTTAAGCGAGCGAGGTATTTAAAGATAATTGACATTTACGGTGAAAGTTATTGAACCGTGAATCACGTTAATTTAGATTAATAATTTCTCGGTCTTATGTCTTCGGAATTAAGCTAACAAGGCGCTGTTTTAAAGAATCGCAGTAAAACAAAAAAAAATATAAAATGCTTTTTGTACATGATTTCTTTAATTGCCGCTCTTTAAATTTTGACAACTTATTATGTTAAATAGCGACATCGCTTTGGCAAATAGGTAAAAATCAGTTTTAACGTGTCGAATGAGTACAATGTGCTTTATTAAAACTACAGACCGTTTTTACCTTAAAATTAATCGTGTAACCTTTGCAACAAAGAAAACCTTTGTTAAACACTGACAAACATTTTTATTACAGGATATGATAATTCTTGGGAAAAGGTAAGCTGTGAAAAAATACATCGCTTTTGTTCGATTTAATTTCGGTTAAACGACAAACCAATGAAACGTCTTAGTGACTAAAAACAAACTAGTGAGTTGATTTCGTAGAGTACTATCTGAATCAACATTTTGCTTAATCTATATACTTCAGTTTAACAGTTTTTGCACTTGTGTTGAAGCTGATGCAAAAACAGTGTATGTTAAATGATTAGTTATGCAAACAGCCCACCGTTTGTAAGTACACAAAAGTAAAGTTAAGATAAACAGATGCTTCGGTCCCGAGCAGTCTTTTGTCATAACTTAACTGTATAAAGTTATCAATATTTTATCAGTTTCATCGTTTATGCTTCCTTTGAGTGTAGCGTTTCACTGAATTAATTTTTTCGTATGTAAATTCACCACCAAATTGCTTACTTCCAGTTCTAAAACCGAAATTATAAACTATTTCAGAAATGGGTTGTGTAGTACACTTTGTCACCGTTAATGTACATGTGTAAGACTAACTTGTACCGTTTTAGTAGTTTTTAGCTTTATCTATAATATAAACGGTTTGACTAATCTTTGTCGTGGGAAATAAATTTTGAGAGACTTGTGTTCTTTTGCAAACGTTTGTATTTTGGTTTTCTAAACAAATACATAACCTATCTCATTTGACTAATGTCTGGTCGAAAATGAGCGAGAGCAGGTCTTCAATTTGGATAACAACTGGTGAATAAAGAATTTTTAAGGTACCTAAAGACAAATTTGAACTTCAGAACAGGCTTTTTAACAACAAAAAAAAATTAGCCAAATAAATGAGGGTCGTAATGACCTGTCTAATTGTTCCAATGCTTCATCGGATAGGGAACCTTTTGTGTACTCAGTGTAAACTGCCTCAAAACTGTCAGCCATAAAATAAGCTCAAATGTTTGTCTTCAACCGGCAAACTGAAGTGCTATTTTTCCTTTTGAATCTAAAACCAAAAATGCATTTTTAAACAGGAACAATAAAATGCTTCTTTAAAATATAGACAGTATCGTATTATACCATTAGTCTGCTTATTGTTCACTCAGTCACTAAACTATGGTATATTTTGGGAATACTGCATTTCGAACCGACAAAAGCCATGTTTTAGGACGACGTGCTTTTTTGGACCGGAAATCCTCAATGCCTCACACATAAATAGTAAGATACAAATGTTACTCATTCCCGAGGGAAGCTGTCAATTATATTGCGCGCATTTTAAGTAATGTTATCATCAAGCCACAATTTTCGAAAGTTAACCCAGCTCGGTTTTAATTATTTTCCCCACAGTTCTTTTTGGGCACGTTTATTAAATTTTCACCGACGTTTTCTTACTGTTATTGACTTCTGCTAGGTGAAATTCAGTCTAGGAAAATTCAACAAGACTAAGCTCACACAAGTTAAAAACTCAAGGCGGTGTTAAAGTTTTAGGAATATTCTATTATGTATAAAATAAAATATCGTATAAAGATAAATATATTTTAACTGGGAAATTTTTAAGACGCGCAAAGAAAGACAAAATTTACGTGAGCTGCTTTGTCCCACGACTATAGCGCCCGCAGGCAGGCAAGCGGCCTACATTACACATGTCAGACGTTGCGTTGTGTATGCCTGAATCCTAGTATCACGGTACTTGGGCCAATAGAAGGAAAAAAGTCAAGACTAAGCCAAATAACACAATGAAATACTAAGATGACCAAATGCTTCAGTTGTAACTGTCGGTGATAGTGTGAGACAATATTCGAAATTTTATTTGGAGTAATTCTGAGAGTTGGTAATGAGTTTTTCGGCTACACCGGTCACATCTCGTCATGATTTCTCCTTACAATTTGAATACGTTATCAAGCAGACGAGTGATGAGAATAAACGAATCATCAATTAAGAGATTGACTTGACGTATTTCTTAATTCTCAAAACTGACTTCAAAAGAAATGTATTGCAATAAACAAGAATTGATAGTTCAGTTCAATTTCAAATAGACTGGGTTTTGGAAATGTTGAGATCGAATCTGTGAATAACACGGAAAAGTGTACAGTAGAACATGGGTAGGTAGTTGTAAGGTAGATTTAAACATCTAACAAAGAGAAGTTTGTCTTAATTCGTATAACAAAGTTTTGAGATTATAATGTGGTTTCGTCGAACGGAACCAAAGCTCAAGCTTCTTTTCTAAACTTTGATATTTGGCTGGTAGTTTCAAATCATTGACACCGCTGGAAAGAATGCGTATTTTGCACGAGGTGAAGGTATCACTATATATGACCTATATATAGCTTGAGATTTTTATTCGAGATATTTTTGTGTTGCATATTGAACAAAACATCTGTAAAACCTACAAACTTTCTATCTTGAACTCCCTGAAATAACCCATATATTTAGGAATGATCTTTGTTCTATAGAACAAGGCATTTGATGTAGTCTACCAAAGACAAATTTCCATTAGTAGAGAGAAGCACCCCTTAGAGTTAGATATATAGAATTCTTTGACAAAGTCATATCTTCGAAGTGAACATATTAATTCATGTGAGGGGTTTCGAGGTTACTATGCAGAAAAGTGTTGTTTTTGTTACAATAATAACTTACGGGCAAGTAAGGAGCTCATTTTAAAGCATTTTATTTTATTGGATTGGAATTTTCCGTGAAGGTAACTAAACAAGGAAGGGAGTGATGACGGTGAAGAAGTCGTTTGTTCGTGTGTCATAACAATCTATCTCTGCGTGTAATATTTATGCAATCGATCTTTTGATCGCTTTTATTTCGTGGAACTGTTTTTGTAACCAAAACGAACGGCGTCTATTCAAAAACAACTTCAAAAGGTAAACACTCCGTCTTAACAATTAAAACATCTGAAATAATAACACAGAACAATGCAATACTCAAACGTTTTCTTTGTATGTCTTCTCAAAAGAGAAAAACTATGAATTCAAAGTTATTTGTTGTTATAGGTTATGGATGTTCTTAGTACCGCAGGGCCCACACAAAGGCAATTCGTGTGAAAATGTAGAATTAAAAGCAGATGTTAATTGTAGATCTTCCTCTACCCCTGCAGTGATTCCAGAGATGCTCGTTTTCTTAAAATGCCCAAGTTCCTAAAATGTATATATTTTCTTTTCCTGATGTTTTGATCGATTAGAGAATTTGCTCAATTCATCAGAGCTTAAAACAGCCTTCGAACTTCCAAGAGATTATATCGGGGAGAGAGTCTACAAAGATAAGCGCCAAACATTTATCGTAACTTTGCCAAACTTTGGCACTAAAGGAGTTTGTTTTGGACTTGCCCCAACCCAAATCTTTCGAAGACTTAATTAGCAATTTGTAATTCTTCTTTTCTTAATTTTCCTTAATATTCAAATACAAAATGCCGAGTACCAAACGTGTTGTGTATTGATGAGTAAATGAGTGTTTGTAATTGCTTCTTTGTGAGCTTTCAATTCTGTTTTTCGGTAGCTTTGAGCAATTGTAACATGAATTGGTTACTTACATATTAAAGCTGATAGCGATAATGCTGAGTGACTAATGACTTTTTTGTTTACATTTGATGTTCGTCAAATGATAAATGGCTAAATTTAAGGTTTGGCAAACATCTGTAGCGGCAAGATTCATTTCATATTACAAAACGCTTTTATTACAAAAACTTGGCCACAGAGGAAAAATAACAAATACATCGAAATGAGAAGGTAATTTGGGTTTGGTAGGTGTTATACCAAGGGATTCTTGGGCGTTAAGGGAAAAATAAAAGCTCAAACTTACTCTCGTCACTGTTTCATTTATTCTTTTTTAACCATCCCTGAAGGACTTATTGTATTGTTCCACAATCATTTCTTATTTACACAATTCACTAAACACTGGAAAGATGGACTTGAAATTACAATTTATCTATATTAAATCCTAGAAATAGAAACTTTTGCAACTGCCTCCTAAATGAACAAAACGCTATTCATTTTGGCCACGAAAAAGATAACGTCATTCGTCAGTGCGATTTTGTTCTGTAGCAGTTTTAGTTCAGGTTTAAAAAGCGCTTTGCCAGTCCGCACCATCCATCACATGTGAAAATTCTTGATTTAACTGTACAATCGTGCTTAGAAAATGTGAAATTCATTTTACAGCAATATTACCCCATACGGAAAACCGTCGACAGTCATGATCGCGCTGGCTGACAAATAGGTGTTAAAAAAATTCTCGGTAAATTCATACATCAGACCAAACTTAGGATAATTCTTGACAGAGTTTGTTATTCCTACAATTCTAGAGATACTTCTGTATTTAGCGACAAGCTCTTTGCTTACACTGATTCTAAACGATAGCAAAAGTTATGATACTATGGAAGGACAGTTGCAAATGAGAAGAAACTTTACTCTATTCAAATGCTACATTGTCTTTCTTAGGTCAAACAGAAATGACCATCACACTGTTCATGTAGTCACTGACAGTTCTTACCGTTTTCCAGCCAATTGACTGCAGTAGGTACAGTACGATGTCGGCGATACAAGGCAGGGTTTGATGTTGCTGCCGTAACTAGATCGCACAGACGAGCAGCACGACAAGGACGGGCTCCCTTTGCTGGCTGGAGCTGGATATTCCTCGGTGTCCGAGCCAATGATACTCGCGATTGAGAACTTTACAGGCCGTTCTCTGTCTCGCACAGCGGCAGGCTCGCTTGGTCTAGTCAGAGCAGGCGGTAAACATGCCAGATACCTTGGAATAGGGAAGTGAGAATACAGTGGAGGGCGCCAGCTTGGAGAATCCACACAGTTCCAGTAATACTGAAACCCAAAGGTACCAACAGTTCCCTCTGGTGGTCGCGGCCTCTTGAATCGTTTTCTTCGTCTCAAAAAGCTGCCGTTGTCAAACATTCCCTCGCTTGCTGGATCGAGTGTCCAATAGTTGCCTTTGCCTGGATTTCCCGGTTCGCGAGGCATCTTCATGAAACAGTCGTTAAGAGAGAGGTTGTGTCTGATGGAGTTTTGCCATGATGGGAACTTTTCACGGTAGTAAGGGAAACGGCGTTTGATGAAGTCGCAGATTTCGCTGAGGGTCAGTTTTCTTTGGGGTGATTGTAGAATAGCCATTGTTATGAGAGCGATGTAGGAATAGGGCGGCTTTGACATGGAAGATTGCCTTCTAGTTTCATTCGTAGAGGTTTGTGGACATATGCTAGGATCTCTTTTTGTTTCCTCTTCGTCCGGTTCTTTTTCAACCAGGACTTCTTCGTCTTCGTCATCGCTTTTCGTTGTTTTAAAACTCTGTACTTTTATCGTTTCCTCGTCGTCGTGTTTGTAATTCTCTTGAAAAGCCATTGCAGTGCTGAGCCCCTTCAGACGCTACTGTTGTGTTGCACGCACTGATCTGTCAGACGCTGAGTGGGTTTACGCTGTGGAAGGTGGCGAAGGAATGATGTGTTTTCAGTCGGTAAAAGTTGTTTGAATAAGTCAAGATACACGGAGACCACCCACCTAAGTTATAACCACTTATAACAACTGCTCTCCCTGGGGCTATCGGCGATTTATTCACGCATTAGCATCAAAAAGGTTTACTCTGCTGCATCCTATCTAATAATTACCTCATTAAGGTGGTGTTCTTTGTAATTAGGCCGTATAAAAACTTTCTCTTTGGTCGGTAAACTTAAACAGGAAGAAACGACACTGATTATCAGTGGTTAGCGCTCGCGCGTGTGTTTTTTAAGGCTCAGAGATATTTCGTTGCACGAAAAATGTGGAATTTAAATCTTGTGAAGTTAGTGGTCGGCACTCGACAATGCTCGCCCACTTGTAGAGAATTGTAGCCCTGGTGTCAAATTTACGCAAACAAATTTTATAAGGCGAGCCCAAATCTATTTCAAATTATTCACAGATGTCTCCCTATTTACTCACAATATCAGATAAGGCTTTGAAAGTCAAGCTAAAAGCTCCAACGTCATGGTGCGACGGACGGAAATTAGTTGGAAAACCGTGAAGGCAATTTCAATAGCACAATTAATGGCGGGAAAGATTGTAACCATTTGTTAAACAGCGCTATCAATTCTTGTTTGATTTTCATTTTGCTAAGAGCAGTGTGTTTACAATACACTTCTGAGATAAAATGGTTTTATTATGTCTTTTCCAAGGTAAATAAACAGAGGAATCATCTGCATGAAATTAGCTGCTAGTGAAAAAAAAATCTATGCGAGGAGACGAAAAAAGATAGAAATTTGATTTAAAAAGTATTCTAAAACAATCTTGGCTAAGATAATTTTATTTTAAGAGTTCGTTCCAGTATCTCGCGAGATTTTCGTCACCGAGATTGTCACCTTCACAGCAACATATTCGAAGCACATCTATCGAAGTTGTGATCTTTTGAGAGGGCTTAATCCTAACTTAACCGTTTGCAAACAAGGAACATGATAACCCCAAACGGTGCCGCGGAAACACCAAGTTTCGTTTTTACCCCGCAAAGATATCGATTAAAATATCTTCTGAATTATTACATGGTTTTGTGTTTTCTTTTCCTCAAGGGCCATCTTTTTTTCTAATTCGCCAAAAATAACTATTTATAGAAGGGAACCCTCTTTACTCATCTTTAATGTAAAAAGCAAGTACGCTGGGAAAGATTTTTTTACAGCGCGTAATCCACCCAGAGTTTTTGCATCAGATATCTTTGTTATGTCCAGAAATAGCAGATGATTTCTATTCACAAAAATTTATTTGGTTTCAATTTACTCATGATTTTTAAAAAGTTTTATCTATGAAGGATTTTTTTGTAATGTGTTTTCGGTGCCATTATAAAATGCGTCTTCACTAACGATTGTTATAACGTGAAAGTTATACACTGAGAAAATATGTAAGGTGATATTTTAAAAGGGTCTGCTAAAACAAAATGATCTTGTCGACAGATTAACAGTATATGTGATCAAAAAGTGACTGGAGATGTCAAATAAAGTCTGGAACAAGGGTTTGATATAGTGCTGAAAATCGCCACTGCCTCACAAGGTGAAAGAACAAGGTGTCGTTTTATTTGACTTTCTTACTTACAATTGTCGGAAACTTCAAGGGCCCTTATTCGCTCTTGTCAGCAAAATAAATGTACATAAGGTTTGATGTGACGATGGCCTTAAACGAATACACTGCGATTAAAAGTAGATATATTTCACGATGACAAAACACGCCGAAATGCAATCATTTTAGCAGCCTTGAATAATTGTTTGGAATTTCCGTCGTATTTTGCTACTCTTGGTCTGGTTTTGTGAAACTTAGGATATTTGTTTTCAATTAAAGGGAACATAATTTGATCGATAATTTTGGCCCTTTATGGTTTCTCTTCTTTTTTTGAAGAAATCAATCGCGAATTGTAAGCAAGCGGCGAAACTGACTTAATCCTGATATATTGTTTTTCATACTCAATGGCTGTTGTTTTGGCCTTAAATCCTTCGTGCGTGTTGGTTATTAAACAAATAAAAGTCACTATTTGCCCTTGATTACACTAAATAAAAATTAAGACTCACCGAGCTAAGTTCAGCAAGAATCAATTTGAAATTTAATTAACTCTTTTTGTCGCAAATGAAACTGATCATTGAAACCGAACAGTATCAAAGATACACCTTGTCATCTTCAAGGAGTTGTTATTTGCTCGATCACTTCTCAATTATTAATTTCTCAAACTCACTGATTACAAAAGCCATAATTTCTGCGTGGTTTAATTTCCTTTTATTCTTTCCGAAATATACAAACAATTGTCATACAAGACTGAATATGTGAAAATTGCTGAGTAGTTTTTATATTGATCCAAAACAGAGATCAATCCGGAACTGCCGTTTTGGAATATGTTTTCAGGAGGTTTTTATAAGACATACATTTTTTTTTCCTTTTGCGTTCGCTCAGGATACCTCAAGGCGATTTTTTTTTTCGTCCAGTGAGTCGCCGTTGCTGAATGTTGTAGTCTTTAGAGTAAAGCTAATTCACGTAGAATTAATATGACGAGTGAAAAATTATCCTCTCAGAGGTCGTAATTTTGTTATATTCTTTTGTTGATAACCCATATCGACAAAGACCTATAACACCTGTATCTTGTGTATGCTAATCGAAAAATGTTTCATTTCCACTTTATTCTTTCATTAAAAGTTATCAAGGCGAGAATAAAAAGCTTTAACAATTCATCATTCCTGTCGTCTTCCGCGAGCTTTGGGGGGAATTTTATTATTTTTCTTAACCTTACAGGAAATTACTCGCGAGTTGGTGAAAAGAAATAAAGCGATTCATAAACTTGCGACAATGAAGAATAGACACTATTGAAGACCTTCTCAATGACATATTGAGTATTTTTCTGTCAGCTAAAAGCGTCGATTATCAATGGCAAGATAAGTGACTAAATTTCGCGTAATAAAAAGATCAAATAAAATCGGCACCGCACTTCAACGCTAATTCAATATTGTCGATTTGAAAAGCACAAATAGCTAAAAATACTATTCGGGACAGCTAGAAAAACGCATGTAAAACTAGCTGTATGTTTAGCTTTTTAATGCATACATCCCTCCAGGTTTATCTTATTCGGTAATATCGCTTTCTGTGTTTTTCATATATACACGTACTTAAGTAATTAAACTAGCTAGGGAGGAGTTACCGGGCAATGTTTCACCTGCCACAATAATTAAGGCTATTCACAGCTCTAAATGGGGTTCCTAACTTGAAGAAATGTCTCGGATAAATAACAAAAATTTGTTAATTGAGCTGGGCACGGACACGCGAGCGATGAAACACTTTTCTTTCAATGCGTATATCATGTCGTGGTATTCTACCTTTTTAACAATTTTGTTTTCGATACTAGAGCAATTTTCATCCGCAGAGTGCACCTCAGCGATCGCTTCTAAAAATAAGCAATTGTAAAATCAGCAGAAGTCCTGCATAAAAAGTTCGATGCTGAACTAATATCATTTTTGTCTTAGTTGTATAACTAAGGCTTGCCAACGAACAAATGTCGTGAGTTTGGACAATCTCTTTAAGGTAACTTTATACCTACAGGCAAGAAAACACCGAGGCGTGTTGAACTGAGCGAATTGATATTTTCCTTTGACCTTGTTTTGTTATGTGTCTTATATCACCATTATAAAAGAAATCATCTGCTTCTCAGAGACAGTGAAATATCAGTGAGCGACCATTGAAATGATAATGGTAAAAGCTGACTTCAAATAAGTAAAAGAAAACGATGATACCGGTTCAACATTGTAACACGCCTGTCGCATAAATATGCTGGGGTTATCTGAATTGCCTTAGAGAGACAGAAGTATTTTATGACCAAGGTTAAAGATTTGCGTACAAAGGAGCAACCCTCAAAACTCCTACAAAAAAAATCGCCTTGCCAGGTGATTATCTAAGCCTGTTCGTAACTTGATATATTTCACCCGCATTTCTCGTATTTTTCCAGTGGCTAACAAGTCGTTGAAAATCAGCCGATAGATAAAAATCATTTGATATCTACCAGATATTTCAATTTATAAACAAATTTTAGCTTGGCTTTAAGGTGGCTATTGCTTTTGTGAGCAAAAAATAAGCTCTAAAGAAAACGAAAATGGTCTTTTTTTAATCTCTTTTCAAAAAGGAGACGATATTTTCTACGCTAGAGACTGTCGCGTCCTTTACTGCATGAAGAAGCCACTAACTAAACCTGAAGATCGCAGTTTTTGGCTTAGAATTCTTGTTCTAAGAAGCTCTAAGGGATATTATTTCCATGTAAATAATCCACCGCAATTCGACACAAAGCGCACGATATAAAATCATTACTCTCGCCAGCTGAAGGGAATGAAAAAAATACATGAGTCTCCACCTTCTTTAATAACTTTGCTATCGCGGATTCGTCTAGGGATCACACGACTCCCCTGACGACAGCTTTGGTTCTTTTTGATGTCTTTGAGCCTAGTATTTCAGTCTGGAAGCGCTTTGCAGGAGAGAACAACTTTTTAGACCGCATTTTTGCTCAAGAGCGACAACTGGGAGCGCGAGCAATATGACTTATATTACATTGTCAATATCAGTAAATGACCGCAACCATGGTTAGAGATGTGTCGCAAATTCTGTTTAAGAGATCACTACATTACCGGGTATAATTGACATTAGTTTGATAGGAAGGCGACTTTACAACGCCGCGTCAAGGCAATTAATGTTTTAATACTCGACCTAATTACCCTGATAGCCACAAACCAATGCACGTGTGTCGTTTTAGATGTGCGCAAAATGTTTATCTGATAAACCAGAAAAAATCGCCTTTGATTCATTAACGTGATTGTCGTGCAATACCTCGCTTAAGATGACAACTCTTAATCCAATTTCACTCAGCCTGCTTGGGTCTCTCTGTCTCAAAACGTACGTGTTGCAACACATGCTAGTTGCACATGCCCTCTCAATTGTCAATCATTTATATTTGATTCCCAAAACGCGGCCATATCGGTTGCTGTGCGAACGGCAGCTTGAAAGCACTTTTTGCGAAAATAACTCTGTAAAAAATATTTTTCAAAAAAATTATCGATAGTCATCTCTGTTAATATTTTATGGAGGGGAGAAAAATTGATTGGGAAATGATGAGTTTGTATTGATCTTCTTCGAATTTGAAACAAGTTTCTATTTAAAGTGGAAAACACTAATCTTCCTTGTAATTCCGCTGAAAACTTGCCCGCGGCAAGACGTCCTTTGCGCATGTCACAATAATTCATTCCCAGATCGATTCTTCTATCTTTGCTAAGCGACTGAAGACGTACCCTCTGAACGAGAGTGGATTTGCTCTGTTTTCAGTGCCTTCTCGTCACTTTTGTTTTGCTTTTCTGAATTTTTTCCTTCTGTGTTTTTTTTTTTTTTTTTTTTTTNAGAGAGAGGTTGTGTCTGATGGAGTTTTGCCATGATGGGAACTTTTCACGGTAGTAAGGGAAACGGCGTTTGATGAAGTCGCAGATTTCGCTGAGGGTCAGTTTTCTTTGGGGTGATTGTAGAATAGCCATTGTTATGAGAGCGATGTAGGAATAGGGCGGCTTTGACATGGAAGATTGCCTTCTAGTTTCATTCGTAGAGGTTTGTGGACATATGCTAGGATCTCTTTTTGTTTCCTCTTCGTCCGGTTCTTTTTCAACCAGGACTTCTTCGTCTTCGTCATCGCTTTTCGTTGTTTTAAAACTCTGTACTTTTATCGTTTCCTCGTCGTCGTGTTTGTAATTCTCTTGAAAAGCCATTGCAGTGCTGAGCCCCTTCAGACGCTACTGTTGTGTTGCACGCACTGATCTGTCAGACGCTGAGTGGGTTTACGCTGTGGAAGGTGGCGAAGGAATGATGTGTTTTCAGTCGGTAAAAGTTGTTTGAATAAGTCAAGATACACGGAGACCACCCACCTAAGTTATAACCACTTATAACAACTGCTCTCCCTGGGGCTATCGGCGATTTATTCACGCATTAGCATCAAAAAGGTTTACTCTGCTGCATCCTATCTAATAATTACCTCATTAAGGTGGTGTTCTTTGTAATTAGGCCGTATAAAAACTTTCTCTTTGGTCGGTAAACTTAAACAGGAAGAAACGACACTGATTATCAGTGGTTAGCGCTCGCGCGTGTGTTTTTTAAGGCTCAGAGATATTTCGTTGCACGAAAAATGTGGAATTTAAATCTTGTGAAGTTAGTGGTCGGCACTCGACAATGCTCGCCCACTTGTAGAGAATTGTAGCCCTGGTGTCAAATTTACGCAAACAAATTTTATAAGGCGAGCCCAAATCTATTTCAAATTATTCACAGATGTCTCCCTATTTACTCACAATATCAGATAAGGCTTTGAAAGTCAAGCTAAAAGCTCCAACGTCATGGTGCGACGGACGGAAATTAGTTGGAAAACCGTGAAGGCAATTTCAATAGCACAATTAATGGCGGGAAAGATTGTAACCATTTGTTAAACAGCGCTATCAATTCTTGTTTGATTTTCATTTTGCTAAGAGCAGTGTGTTTACAATACACTTCTGAGATAAAATGGTTTTATTATGTCTTTTCCAAGGTAAATAAACAGAGGAATCATCTGCATGAAATTAGCTGCTAGTGAAAAAAAAAATCTATGCGAGGAGACGAAAAAAGATAGAAATTTGATTTAAAAAGTATTCTAAAACAATCTTGGCTAAGATAATTTTATTTTAAGAGTTCGTTCCAGTATCTCGCGAGATTTTCGTCACCGAGATTGTCACCTTCACAGCAACATATTCGAAGCACATCTATCGAAGTTGTGATCTTTTGAGAGGGCTTAATCCTAACTTAACCGTTTGCAAACAAGGAACATGATAACCCCAAACGGTGCCGCGGAAACACCAAGTTTCGTTTTTACCCCGCAAAGATATCGATTAAAATATCTTCTGAATTATTACATGGTTTTGTGTTTTCTTTTCCTCAAGGGCCATCTTTTTTTCTAATTCGCCAAAAATAACTATTTATAGAAGGGAACCCTCTTTACTCATCTTTAATGTAAAAAGCAAGTACGCTGGGAAAGATTTTTTTACAGCGCGTAATCCACCCAGAGTTTTTGCATCAGATATCTTTGTTATGTCCAGAAATAGCAGATGATTTCTATTCACAAAAATTTATTTGGTTTCAATTTACTCATGATTTTTAAAAAGTTTTATCTATGAAGGATTTTTTTGTAATGTGTTTTCGGTGCCATTATAAAATGCGTCTTCACTAACGATTGTTATAACGTGAAAGTTATACACTGAGAAAATATGTAAGGTGATATTTTAAAAGGGTCTGCTAAAACAAAATGATCTTGTCGACAGATTAACAGTATATGTGATCAAAAAGTGACTGGAGATGTCAAATAAAGTCTGGAACAAGGGTTTGATATAGTGCTGAAAATCGCCACTGCCTCACAAGGTGAAAGAACAAGGTGTCGTTTTATTTGACTTTCTTACTTACAATTGTCGGAAACTTCAAGGGCCCTTATTCGCTCTTGTCAGCAAAATAAATGTACATAAGGTTTGATGTGACGATGGCCTTAAACGAATACACTGCGATTAAAAGTAGATATATTTCACGATGACAAAACACGCCGAAATGCAATCATTTTAGCAGCCTTGAATAATTGTTTGGAATTTCCGTCGTATTTTGCTACTCTTGGTCTGGTTTTGTGAAACTTAGGATATTTGTTTTCAATTAAAGGGAACATAATTTGATCGATAATTTTGGCCCTTTATGGTTTCTCTTCTTTTTTTGAAGAAATCAATCGCGAATTGTAAGCAAGCGGCGAAACTGACTTAATCCTGATATATTGTTTTTCATACTCAATGGCTGTTGTTTTGGCCTTAAATCCTTCGTGCGTGTTGGTTATTAAACAAATAAAAGTCACTATTTGCCCTTGATTACACTAAATAAAAATTAAGACTCACCGAGCTAAGTTCAGCAAGAATCAATTTGAAATTTAATTAACTCTTTTTGTCGCAAATGAAACTGATCATTGAAACCGAACAGTATCAAAGATACACCTTGTCATCTTCAAGGAGTTGTTATTTGCTCGATCACTTCTCAATTATTAATTTCTCAAACTCACTGATTACAAAAGCCATAATTTCTGCGTGGTTTAATTTCCTTTTATTCTTTCCGAAATATACAAACAATTGTCATACAAGACTGAATATGTGAAAATTGCTGAGTAGTTTTTATATTGATCCAAAACAGAGATCAATCCGGAACTGCCGTTTTGGAATATGTTTTCAGGAGGTTTTTATAAGACATACATTTTTTTTTCCTTTTGCGTTCGCTCAGGATACCTCAAGGCGATTTTTTTTTTCGTCCAGTGAGTCGCCGTTGCTGAATGTTGTAGTCTTTAGAGTAAAGCTAATTCACGTAGAATTAATATGACGAGTGAAAAATTATCCTCTCAGAGGTCGTAATTTTGTTATATTCTTTTGTTGATAACCCATATCGACAAAGACCTATAACACCTGTATCTTGTGTATGCTAATCGAAAAATGTTTCATTTCCACTTTATTCTTTCATTAAAAGTTATCAAGGCGAGAATAAAAAGCTTTAACAATTCATCATTCCTGTCGTCTTCCGCGAGCTTTGGGGGGAATTTTATTATTTTTCTTAACCTTACAGGAAATTACTCGCGAGTTGGTGAAAAGAAATAAAGCGATTCATAAACTTGCGACAATGAAGAATAGACACTATTGAAGACCTTCTCAATGACATATTGAGTATTTTTCTGTCAGCTAAAAGCGTCGATTATCAATGGCAAGATAAGTGACTAAATTTCGCGTAATAAAAAGATCAAATAAAATCGGCACCGCACTTCAACGCTAATTCAATATTGTCGATTTGAAAAGCACAAATAGCTAAAAATACTATTCGGGACAGCTAGAAAAACGCATGTAAAACTAGCTGTATGTTTAGCTTTTTAATGCATACATCCCTCCAGGTTTATCTTATTCGGTAATATCGCTTTCTGTGTTTTTCATATATACACGTACTTAAGTAATTAAACTAGCTAGGGAGGAGTTACCGGGCAATGTTTCACCTGCCACAATAATTAAGGCTATTCACAGCTCTAAATGGGGTTCCTAACTTGAAGAAATGTCTCGGATAAATAACAAAAATTTGTTAATTGAGCTGGGCACGGACACGCGAGCGATGAAACACTTTTCTTTCAATGCGTATATCATGTCGTGGTATTCTACCTTTTTAACAATTTTGTTTTCGATACTAGAGCAATTTTCATCCGCAGAGTGCACCTCAGCGATCGCTTCTAAAAATAAGCAATTGTAAAATCAGCAGAAGTCCTGCATAAAAAGTTCGATGCTGAACTAATATCATTTTTGTCTTAGATGTATAACTAAGGCTAGCCAACGAACAAATGTCGTGAGTTTCAGTGGACAATCTCTTTAAGGTAACTTTATACCTACAGGCAAGAAAACACCGAGGCGTGTTGAACTGAGCGAATTGATATTTTCCTTTGACCTTGTTTTGTTATGTGTCTTATATCACCATTATAAAAGAAATCATCTGCTTCTCAGAGACAGTGAAATATCAGTGAGCGACCATTGAAATGATAATGGTAAAAGCTGACTTCAAATAAGTAAAAGAAAACGATGATACCGGTTCAACATTGTAACACGCCTGTCGCATAAATATGCTGGGGTTATCTGAATTGCCTTAGAGAGACAGAAGTATTTTATGACCAAGGTTAAAGATTTGCGTACAAAGGAGCAACCCTCAAAACTCCTACAAAAAAAATCGCCTTGCCAGGTGATTATCTAAGCCTGTTCGTAACTTGATATATTTCACCCGCATTTCTCGTATTTTTCCAGTGGCTAACAAGTCGTTGAAAATCAGCCGATAGATAAAAATCATTTGATATCTACCAGATATTTCAATTTATAAACAAATTTTAGCTTGGCTTTAAGGTGGCTATTGCTTTTGTGAGCAAAAAATAAGCTCTAAAGAAAACGAAAATGGTCTTTTTTTAATCTCTTTTCAAAAAGGAGACGATATTTTCTACGCTAGAGACTGTCGCGTCCTTTACTGCATGAAGAAGCCACTAACTAAACCTGAAGATCGCAGTTTTTGGCTTAGAATTCTTGTTCTAAGAAGCTCTAAGGGATATTATTTCCATGTAAATAATCCACCGCAATTCGACACAAAGCGCACGATATAAAATCATTACTCTCGCCAGCTGAAGGGAATGAAAAAAATACATGAGTCTCCACCTTCTTTAATAACTTTGCTATCGCGGATTCGTCTAGGGATCACACGACTCCCCTGACGACAGCTTTGGTTCTTTTTGATGTCTTTGAGCCTAGTATTTCAGTCTGGAAGCGCTTTGCA